AAAATGCTTACATGCATTGTCATGTTAAGTCTATCAATTCTGATAATTGTGAAAATTAATACTGAAATTCTTAATATGCACACTTGTCTGTGCATTTTGTTTTTTTATAATAATGCCCGAATTTACAATTTGTATGCCAGAATTATGCTCTCAACACTTTTCTTCATTCTGCAGAATTGGCAAATTCCATATTTTTTGTTGCCAAAGTCCCTTTTTGGTCTATTTCATAAGCTTTACTTATCTAGTTCTTGATAAACAATGGGCTAGATCTCAATTCTTCCATCAAACTGGAGCAGGGTTAATTCTGCATTAGAACCTTCCAATTACACCACATAAATTTGACTGTGTTTTTGACAGAGATAAAATCAAACGTAAAAGAATGTAAAATTACACATAAAGGATACTTAATTATAATTCCTTATTTATGTCTCATTAACCTTACAACTTTTTCAAATGTATATCATATTTTCAGAGGGATGCAGTATTTACTTCTATGTTGAATTTATATTTCTATTTTCTATAACATATGTGCCATTATTAAACACACACCAAAATATATATACATATACATTGAAGTGCCACTGAATTAGGGATAGTAATTTTATAGCGCTGCACGGCATCTCTGCTCACATGAAGTTGTGGTAAATACACATACAGCTAGTACTATGTTTGTTGTTAATCAGTTGTTTTAATTACCAGTATGGGTCAAACTTCTGATTTAGACAGCTTCAATCTTGGACAGATGGTAGGCACTCGACGGATGGGCCACTTAATTTCCAAAATCCTCAGTAGGCTAGGATTTTCAAGGTCAACAGTGTCAAGAGTATACTGAGAATGCACGCGTGGGAAAAAGAACTAGTATTCGGGCAAATTGCACAGGACAATTAACCTAGAACAAGCGTGGCGTGAGACGGTTCAGCCGTATTGTACATGGTCAACAAAGCCAAACATTAGCTCAAATTCCCACCCAGCTGAATCAGGGTGACATTTGTACAGTCAGTAAAAGGATCATGCAACGCTTGCTTAATCAAATGGGCTTCGGAAATTTGACCAAATGGGCTTCGGAGGCCATAGTCCCACAAGAGTACCTTTACTGAATGCACACTATAGAGCTGCACTTCTTGCCTGAGCAAGATGAGTCTCAATTCCAATTAATTAATACCAATGGGAGGCTGAGAATATGGCATCAGACTCATGAAGCCATGAATCCTGTACAGGGTTCGTAGCCACATTTTAGTTAAAAAAAAAAATAAGCACCTATAAGCACTTTTCAAGCATATTTTACGGGAAAAAAAAAATGAGCACCCCTTCTAATTACATTATACACAACTGCATAACCTTAAAAGAAAAATTAGACTTGTAATTTAAAATATGAGAAATGCAAGTATTTATTAAGAGAATAAGCATTACCTCAAACCATGGAAAAATAATTAACTTTTTTTTTTTTTAAATTTTAAATAACAGTTCAATTTACAGAATTAGTTTACAATGAGAGAAAAAAAAAAAAAAACTATGCAGAACTAAACTATATTACAAGATTAATGATGAAATTTCAGTTCAAAATATAGAAAATAAGTAATAATAATAATAATAAGCCATATTAATTGTATTTTTGCTTGGCACCTAATAATAAATACAATTTATTTTTCCACTCATATTAATATTTAAATAATTAAATTAAATCAAAATTCTGAACATTTTTCTAAATTTTTTCATTGTATAACAGTTTTTCCTTAAACAGATATTGCAAGCAAAGTAATTTAAGTAAAAAAAGAAGAAACATTTCTGAAATCAGAAGGAGACGGGAAATTGCTTCATGCAGTCATCCTTTAACAGTAAAAGCTTAACTAACCGCATACTTCGAAAATTGCCGAATATTCCGTATAGTCGAGCGTAACTTGGAAAAAGAGGAGGGGGAGGGAGGGAGTTGACTGTAGCCATTCTTTAGATTTCTCAGCTAAATAAATGATTTTGACATTTCGATATGTGCATCATATAAAAATAGACCAACAGAACTGAGAAATATTCTGCTTAGAAAGCACAGTAAAAGTCTTTTGAGTGTTCATAAATAAATCTCAGACAGAACATCAAAATTAATTATCTCTGCAAAATACCGCAAACGTTACTGCGCAATAAGTGCGGCGTAATTCTTCCATACGTGATATTACGCAATCGGAATCGAAATCAACAGCTGCCAGTATTCGGAGAATAAAGAACTAAATAAAGGAAAAGAAAGAGACTTACTAATCTGGGGTTTTTTTTTTTTTTAATTCTAATTTTGAACAGACTGCGTTAAATTTTCGGAATATAATCATTCTTCGCTTGGGTTGGGTAGACCGCAAAACTTTTAGTCCTATTCAATCCAGACTGGACAGTGACAAAAAAAAAGTCCGCTGCTTCAATATTAGATATTTTGCGGAGAAAGGGGAGAAACTTCCAACCTCCGTACTGTATAATGTATTGGTTAAAAAAAAAAAAAAAATATTATGACTATTTGATTACTTTCCTTTTATTTAAGCCATTCCGAATATTATTCCTTAGAAAGCTAATCTGTGTAAAAATACACCATTTTTTGAAGTTTATCTACACTTCAGCAGCTACTGCAACTATATTATTATAAATATTCTTACATATGCTCATAATATAAGCATAAGATCATAATAAACACGAATATGAACTGACCACGTGGCACGAGAATGCAAATTATTAAAATCTTGATAAAAATTCAAACGTGTGTGAGTATTTGGGTGGGAGGAAAAGAATACCGAATGTACCGGAATTTTCTACGGTTTTTACAATTCTTGGACTTATAGAAAGACATGCACCTGTCTGTACTCTCGCACGCACTATAGGTTAATGCAGAGAAAGGGCGAAAAGCTATTTCCGGGAGTATGATTCACTATCTGACGTTCCATTATAAGGAAGAAAAGTTTTTTTATTTAGTTTCGGCTTTGGTACAGGGGGGGGGGGGAACGCACATTCATTAAAAAAAGCACTAAAATAAAAAAATAAGCACTAAAAACAAAAAATAAGGGCTTTAAAGAAAAAGTAAGCACCTATAAGGGCCTTTATATTTTATTTTCAAATATAAGGACTTATAAGCACTTGTAAGGACCGCTACGAACCCTGCTGTATGGCAGATTGAAACTGTACAAGACCATGGTGGCTTAATCATAGTCTGGGATGTCTTCTCTTGGCAGAGTTTGGGATCTTTGGTACTTGTACCAACCTCCCTCAATATGATTCGGTACGTAGAGCTGCTAGGCAATCATCTCCATCCATTTATTCCTGTCATTCACACGGAAATTGAGTATCCGAGAAAGATAACTGCACCTCTCATAGGTTCTGGTTGGCTACTGCCTGGTTGGATGAGCATACTTCTGACTTCTCTGTCATAAATTGGCTACTTAAAAGCCCTGGCTTAAATTCTACTGAGCATCTTTCGGACGTTTTGGAGAAAGGTCTGAAACCTCATCATACAACACTAGCAACTCTTCCTAAATTATAGACAGCTCTATCCGATGTTTGACAAGCCATTCCCGTAGAATGCTTCCAGAAACTTATTGAATCTATGCTTTTTCGTTTGGCAGCCATTGTAAAGGCTAGAGGAGGCACAACTCGTTATTGACTAGCTATCCCGAATTCAGTGGCACTTCAGTGTATACAGTACAAAGTCTGTAAACCAGACGTCCATTATCTGGAATGATGTATAATCTGGACCTCAAAGCCACAAACTTTTTTTTTTTTGTATGCTTTATGCATGCGCATTTAATGTTACACATGCACGTTTAATGTTTATATGCATGCCGTTTAGCACAAAAAACGAAGCAACTTAAACAACTTACATTGAAAGAAATGTTTAATAAAGTAAACAAATAAATATTAAGCTCTTTTTATAAATTTTGATACCCTTTACATCATAATTGCTCTTTATTTCATAAATTACGGTTTCATATTTTTTAACTGTATAATTTCTGCCTGCCATCTTACCAGATTTAAATTGATGATCTATAATCCGGAATCGTCTAAGTCCCAATGAGTCCGGATTACAGACTTTGTACTGTATATATATGTAATAGATTCAAACTCAGAAGGTGAATGTCCAGCAGAAATTTTGATGGCGTAGAAGTGTTGATCCATAATGAATAGGAAATTGGAGACGAATGCAGACTAACTCTTCATTTTTCATTTCAGCAAACATGTTGCAGACAAATCAAGCTAGCACAATAATTGTGCCTATTTCAAGAGGTTTACATTTTTGATAACTTTGCAGCAAAAAGGAAGCAACAGACAGACAGCAGTCCAGCTAGGACAAAGTGTTGAAAGCAAGTGCATTATGCTCAGGGTGAAATCTTAATTCAGACTGAGTTAGTTTTGGTTCTCAATGCATTCTGATAGGATAGTTAATATTGCTGTAAAATTGCTATTGGCTGCTTGAGTTTTAGTTCCATTTACATCACCAGAATTATGTAGGAGTCATACTACATAAATTAATCTAGAAATGATGCAGTGTAAGGAGAATTTACTATTTTTAGAAATGAGAATTTAATCTTTCAGATATTCTTTATTTTTCTTACACACATGTGTGTGTGTGTATTTGTGTGTTTGGACTTCATTAACCCTAGAATTAGCAAATCGGTAAACATGAAAGCAACCAAATAACAAAAATAAACACATAGTATATGAATTATGGTACAGTCTGCAAATTTGAGAAACTGCTACACAATGCATATACCTTTTAATTAAGCCTCAATTTCAGTTTAATAAACAAAAATTCAAATCAATCTGATCTGACTCATATTTATGAAAACTAATCATAAAATAACGGAAAACAAAAACTCAGAAATTTTTTAATGTACTTGGCTAACTGGAAATTTAAAGCAAATTTAAAGCTTCAAAAAGAGGATGCATTGTAATCTTACTATAGGTGACAACATAACTAGTTATTTTTAGTAAAACACCAAAAAGTTTAAATAAGATCAATTTACAAAGAAACATACCTGAATATTCAACTTTTGAATAATCTATAGCTGATTTGGATACCCAACGCATGTGAACATGATGCTGGTGCTTTCTGCACATTTCAACACTGGGAAACCTCATGCAACACAAAAAACATGTATTGCGATCCACATTTGATGGATCATAGTTTTCTTGATGATTAACATTGGAAGCAACAATGTCATCAGCATTTCCAATATGAGCAGCGTCTGCCATATGTTTCTAAAAAATATGGGTAAAAATACGTAAGTATGCATCGTTGGTGTAACAGTGTGACACTCACAACATAGAAAAAATAACAATTTTCGTAAAGTGATATCTCATGGAATGTTAAAGTGGAAACACATTACATACAAAAAAACATGGAGAATGAAAAATAGTTTTATTCACAGATATGTGCAGGAAATAATGTTTGATATTTGGAAAAATTATTCCAATGAATTACCACCAACATGAATTACCACCAACTGTAACATATGTATCACAGCTACAGTAAAGTAACTGGCATGCACTCTGGAAGATATCTAGCTTCTCACATCCTTCGGTAGGAGTGGTGCTAATTATGGTGATAAAGTCTTCAAGAGAGTCAATATACTTATCATAAATGAGATCAGTCATCATTGTGGCACATGTACTACAACAATTAGTTGTTCATTTGAACAATTAAATATGGAACACTATTTATTATAAATATTCATGATTAAAACATTTATTCTTTATATTTACTGTTTCCACCTTCACATTTTACATTCTACTACTCAATCTATATATTATAAAACTGTTATTTTGGTGATGTTCTATCACTCCTTCAAGTTTTGTTACAGGTTATATATGCATGTATAATAGCACACAAACATCAGTATCAACATTTTAACAGTTGTTTAAATATATAAAATAATATTAAATGAAAAATCAGTTCATCAAGAAAGCTTTCATGTTAGTTATCAGATACTTGTCATACCTTTTACCTTCTGCAAATGGAAAAGATAACCATCTTTTATTATCTATTAAAAAGCCCGAGGTTCTAAATAAGTCATATAATGCTTGACTTTTATAATTTCTATCAGAATTAAGTTTTGTTGAAGCTTTTTTCATTATGTGACAACACATAACAAACAATCTTCTTTTGTAAGTTATATGTACTAACTTATATATTTATACAGCATGAAAACCTACTTACATAAGCAGTTTATTTTGGGGGGAAAAATGTAAGTATGATAACATTCTTTTAAACATAAATACAGTCAAAAGTCGTTAATCCGGACTCGTCGGGACTTCAGCGATTCCGGATTATCGATTTTTCCGGATCATCAGTTTCAATCTGGTAAGATGGCATGCAGAAAATACAAAATTAAAAATATGAAACCGTAATTTATGAAATAAAGAACAATTATGATCTAAAGGGTATCAAAATTTACAAAAAGAAAAAGCTTAATATTTATTTGTTTACTTTATTAAACATTTCTTTCAATGTAAGTTGCTTCGTTTCATGTGATAATACTTTCTCTTTAATTATATTAAACAGACATAATTTCTTGTTTAGTTACAAAGTTCCGCTGTTCAAGTCCTATAATTGCTTTGTTGAGAATACCGACTAATTTGTCAATCGAAATGTTTTCGTTTTTAGTAACCTCTGGGTCACTTTCTTCACTATCGGATGCGAATTATAATGACGAGGAACTTGATTTAAATCATATCAAAGACCGAGTACATCGAGATGAAATACTGCACTTAGTAAGGAATCATAAGCCAAATAAAAATAAAAATAAAAAAAATAAATAAATAAAAAAAAAACATCTGCCCTGAAGATAAGGATAGTGCTGACAGATCAACTTCCAATCCGTGGCGTGAAATTGATAAACAGATTTCAGATTTCAAAACATACTTTCGCTTTGTAGATACAAATTACATATTAGTAAATATATATCGGAAATTCTATTTGACATAATCTAAATTAAACGCGCATGCGCACAAACATATTCGCAGCCGTAAAGGTCTTACGCGCACTCTTAAACGCCTGTGTGCATGCGTGAACGCGATGCATGCGCAGAAAGTTTGTAGCTTTGAGGTCCGGATTATAGATCATTCCGGATTATGGGTGACCGAATTAACGACTTTTGACTGTATATCTCTTAGGTTCATTATTTCAATAAAAGACAATGACAGACTTTAAAGACTTAGAACAATGTATTTAATTGTGGTTGATAAGCAATAAGATATTTTTTAAATCCTGGATCACATATCCTGCGCATGTATCTTAATGTAGAAAACTCTGGCATGCCTTATCTTTTCTGTGTTTTTCTCCTCCTTCTTCTTTCATCATAATCTATTCTACATTTTATTTTAGATGATACAAATAAGTAGTTAACTATAAAAATGGTTATAAAATTATACTGATTGCTTACCCAATTAAATTTACTTAAAAGCTGCTTGCTAGTATTGTGATCAATTACTCTTTAAAAACAACTAAAAGGAACTTGAAAACAACTATGGATTTAATTAAAAGAAATTATCCTTCTGTGGAATAAGTGATCTCTATATATATTTTTCTTTTTAATTTCTGAACTACTTACCGTATTTGACGGCATATAAGACGCACCCTTATTTAGAAGGCCACACACGTGTAGATGTAGAAAAAGTTATGTGTGTTTAGACCTTTATCCGGGCTAAAAATAGCATTCAGTATTGAAAGTTAACCTGTGTCCTTCACATATAAGACGCAGATAACTTTTTTTGAGACCAAATTTAGGAAAAAAAGCGCGTCTTACATGCCGTCAAATATGGTATATATTTTCAAATCAAACTACAAATGATCCACAATAAACTGAAGCCCAGTCAGTTGAATATATGTATGGAATGAATTTTTTATGAGTCCTTGAATCCCTTTAATAATAATAATTCCTCCAGAAAACACCTTAACCCTTTAATTGCCAAGTTATTTTGATGATTTGGGTACACAAATTATCAAATTTTTTTATTGCAAAAATCAAATGTTAGTACAAAATGAAATATATAGTAGTAAAAATGATATTGTGAAGTACATGGGTAAAATTTTTAAGTTTTGTAGCCCTGCAATTCGCTTGAGCGGCGCACTAAACATGGCAGTCGTAAAGTTCGCTCAAGTGGGGCTTATTTTCTAAAAATGAAAAATAATAATAATATAATAATAATTACTTTCTTAAAATAAATGAAAAAAAAAATAAAAGTGAATACTATTAGTAGTTCAGTAATTCAGTCTTGGTGTACACTGGAAACACTTTTCCAAGCACAAACCAACTCCACAATCATTACACCAGAATCATGTTTCTTCATATCTTTTTCCCATTTGATCCTTTTTTGAACAAACACACTTGCACTGTCTTGTCGGCTCACGTTCGCAGGAGTAGGAGGAATATGGGATAAAAATGTTGTTCAGAAGACGGGCAGGGTTATCTATTGTAGGTGGTCTGCAACATTCTTTTGTCCAGAAGCAGCAATCATATTATGTAAAAGCTCTTCTACAACTTGGATTCGAAATTCTAAAAAGTAATACGTTTCCCAACCACATTTTATAGAGCAAATGAGTTCAGAGTACTTTGTCTAGTTAAATGTAAAAATATCTTTTTATAATATTTTTGACGTTTTTCGGATTGTTGGATGAAAGGATATTTACTGATCACAGCAATTACACCACCCATAGTTAGATTGTAGTCAGAAACAATCTCGGCTTGAATATATTTTTTTTTTTTTTATTTTTGAGGCTGACATGGAAGTATCATGAATACTGCAATCCAACACATCCTCCTATATTTCCACCTTTAGCCAAAATTTACTCTTTGAAAAGCTATGATTTGCCTTTTGAAATTTTCTTTAGCGAGTTCTGTAGGTAAATCGTCTATTCATCCTACTGTCCATAAATATCTGTTTTTTGGGCTATAAGTAAATCTGCAAGCTCGGGTGACATGTAATAGTTATCTAGAGTCACATAATACCCATTTCCAAGAAAGTGATGCAATAGGTGCATGACGACTTTTGTAGAAAGTCCATAATTAGTATACGATTGACTGAAGACAGTAATATTTCCTGTATAGATATGAAGTCACAAATATACCCTGTTTCCGCCTCACAAAGCATAAAAATTTGATTCCAAATCGTGCACATTTAATAGGAATATATTGATTCAAAGTTAACCTCCCTTTATAAGGCATCAAGCTTTCATCAACCAATGCATCACTTTATGGTATGTAAAAATTACAAAATTTTTCCCGTAAATTTTCTATCACATTATACAGCTTCCAAAATTTTGGATTTGGAAAATCATCTCCTTTTTCAGCTTTATTACTGCAAAAATGTAAATATCGAAAAATCAAAATAAAACGATTTATGGGCATTACTTTTGAGTAAACTGGAGTATGCAAAATCCTTTGATGAGACCAGTACATAGCCTGATTTGGTTTTCGGACAATACCTTGAAGAATTATTAACCCAAAGAATAGCTTCATTTCTCTGTCATTTGTAGGGATCCATTTTTTACTGTGGGAGCACCTTGATATCTTTGCCCAATTTGCTTTTCTTTCTTGTTCTTCATAGTTGTTAATTTCTTTGACAATTACAGTCAAAAGTCGTTAATCCGGACTCGGGACTTCGGCAATTCAGGATTATAGATCATCAGTTTAAATCTCGTAAGATGGCATGCAAAAATTCTAAAATTAAAAATATGAAACCGCAATTTATGAAATAAAAGAACAATTATGATCTAAAGGGTATCAAAATTTACAAAACAAAAGCTAATAATTTATTTGTTTACTTTATTAAACATTTCTTTCAATGTAAGTTGTTTAAGTTGCTTCGTTTTATGTGATAATACTTTCTCTTTAATTCTATAAACAGACATAATTTCTTGTTCAGTTAAAAAGTTCTGCTGTGCAAGTCCCGTAATTGCTCTGCCGAGAATACAAATTAACTTGTCAATCAAAATTTTTTTCGTTTTCACTAACCTCTCTGTCACCTTCTTCATGTCTTTATCCATTTTTTTGCAGCAATTCCACTTTTTCTTTGATGGACATCGACACATACTTTCATTTTGTAGATCCTTTGGGAGCTCCAGCATGGGAAATTCTATTTGACATAATTGAAAGTTCAAGTTTACTTTTATAAAATTGCTCTTACAGTCTGCAAAAAATAATAAGCAGGATCCAATTCGAAGATTAAGGAACAACGCAATCATCAACATTAACTGAAAT